CCGCCGCCGAGAAACTGTCAAAAACTTGTGGAACCGGCCGGGCCGGGCCGGGGCGGAGCCTCCGCGGCCGCGGCTCCGGCTCCTGACGCGGCAGGACTGGCTGGGCGGGCGCGGGCCGCCTCACCGCACCTCACCGCGCCGCGCCTCGGCGGGGAGGGCGGGCGGCCGCGCCTCCCTACCTGGGCAGCTGCCGCCGCCGCCTCTTCCTCCGGCCGAGCCCTGCCGGGCCTTTGCTCCCCGGCCGCGGCAGCCTTTGCTGGAGGCAGCTCTGCTGTGGGTGCCCAGCGAAGTGTGAGGTAAACTCTTCCTCCCAGCAATTAAGCGAGGGTTCTGTAAGAACTAATTGATTCGTCTTGTCAGAATTAATTAGCGCGGCCCCGGCGGTGCTGGTGCGGCCGGGGCCGTCCCGTCGCTCCCTCCCGCAGCACCCCGCGCAGGGAGAGGCGGGGGTTTCCTCAGGGCCCCTCAGTCGGGGACAAACGTCTCTTTCTCCTCAGTGCTGGTCAGGGCACCACCTGAGCTTCCTGCCAGGCGCTCGAGCTTTCTATTTCCTTTAAATACACGTCAATAACAGTGCCCCTAGTCATCTTTCCTCTGTGAAGGGATTCGGAGGCCTGCGTGGCAGGGGGAGGGCGAGGAAGCTGGGCTGAGCTGTAAATTTTTGCGGACCATAAACTGTCCAGAGATTGTGCGATTAATTTAAAGTACGCTAGTTGGGATATCTTTCTGATAACGTAATGCCTGCACTATCTTGAAGGACTTTGTGGGAATTTCATAATCTTGGGTGTTTAAAACTCAGACACAGCGGTAGGTATCGAGTGCGTGAGGCCAATCGCCATCCTTACACATCGGACACCCTCCTGGTGGCTGTCTCTCCCTCCGCTTCCCCCACTTTACTGCAGCAATAAAGTCTTGGCAGGCCTGCAACAAAAACTGGACTTGGACCAGAACCCTAGATCTTGGACTCTGGTGTGGGAGGAGGTTGTTATCAGCTTTTGAGGGCTGTAAAATTGTTTTCATTCAAGCACGTGGAGGTGTTTATACCTTTGGAACTATAATTTACCTTCTGGGGAAGAAAAGTGGGCACTTAGAGTGTTCTCTTGAATACAGCTAAAATGCTGGGTAGAGAGGGGGTTTTATGAGACTTCATACTCCCAGGTAAAGTTTTGCAGACTTCTGGTATTTATGGTATTAATCGCCTTTCTGTAAGAATCCAATTTCTAACGTTATCCTATAGGCATAGTGAGTTATTTGGGGCCCAAGTCCACAATTTATTCTCTCACTAAGCTGTGTTTCCTCATACAAACAGTCCTCTCAAATGTGATGTGGCTGCTTGCCTGAGCACGGGATGAGGAATCTCACTGTTTATTCCCAAGTCTTTTGTCTGAAGGGCCTTTTGCAACTGTGGAGACAGGCTGTGCCCGGGTACTACTGCTTTTGTCTTACCTTATGCTGAGGCATGAAAAGGATGTTCCTCCCTAACAGGCTGGCATTTGAATTTGAGGGAGCAGGTGCCCAAAGGAAGTTTTCTTTTAAAGTAAAATGAAGTTAAAAAATTAACGATTTTTTTTTTCAATTTTCAAGTTCTGTTTGAAACAACCTGTAACTGGGCAAGTGAAGAAAATCCTCTAGAGCATTGTAGGAGACAGTATTTGAGAAGTATATACCCAGAAATATTCCTTTGGGTGAATATAAGTATTTCTTTAAAATCAATAACGTTTTTATGCGTGATTGTTTTCTGAAAGTGTGCTATTTGCATGTCAGCAGCATATTCAAATATTCTTGGAAACCATTTAAGCATGCTGTAATGACCCATTAATGTCAGCTCATCATTAGATCTTTAGCATGTGTTTTAAATAGCTTAATATGACTGTAACTAATTACATAAATTGCGGCTGAGCAACAATCGCATATGCATGATGTAGCCAGCTGTGGCCTTTTTCCTTCCCTGTGGTCATTAGCAAACATTTAACTTGATTAAGAAAAAAACCATGTACACAGTGTGTTATTTAGTGGTATCAAACAACATTTAGAGCCAGAATAGAATTTTCTGCATAGGAAATGAAAGCGACTCTACCAGCTTGTTTTTCTGATCGGTAGATATTTTTTTGTTTTGTTTTTTGACAGTTATAAGGAATTTTTCAAGTATTTTAATTCCCTTCAAGCTGACGATACAAAAGTGCATTCAAACTCACACAAAGTGTCATTTGAAAGAAGTATATACAGCTTTTGAAGGCTTACTGAACCCTTCGGTCTGGTTCAGCTCTGGTTACTTAAATGGATTGACTCCATTTTGAAACTGGTGCAAGCAAGCACAAAATCACGTTGTTCCCTGCTCTTCGTTGTCCTGAGCTGGTTTCAGATCAAATGAGCTGTAACTCAGAGCCACAGAAGATACTGAGCTCTTTGATCAAGGAAGATGTTTAATCAAATGCTTAATTTAAACGTGTAATTAATTCACTGTACTTGATGGGAGGGGGAATCAAGGAGATGCAAAATACTTTTTATAAACTCTTTTTTTTTTCTTCAGCCTAAAACCAGGAGGGTGGTTTTGTCTCAGAGATGAATGCTTTGGATGTTTGTATTTTGTATCTCAATTGTCTCATGTTGCAAATTATTTTGGCAATGTTTATAAGATAACTTATAGTCTGATTTCTTAATTGTGGTTTATTTTTTTGAGACTGGAAAGAATGTATGCTATAGAAGAATGCATTTTTTTAAAAGCTTTTTTCTGAGATTACCTAGGATTTAGACAAAATTTGGCATTCAGGGGAATCTAATTGGCAGTATTATTAGCAATCCTAATCTTTTTCTGCTGCTAATTGAAATATTTAATTCAAAACTGTTATACCCACACGTTTTGTGACTGCTCATTTCTTGCTGAAAGTAGGTATGCGTACTTGAATTCATCTGCTGCGCCCACTAGATGGCAAGCAAGCTATGCATGAGGGAACAAAATAAATTTGCATAATCTGTATGCTCAAGGCTTTCTCAAAGTGCTTTCTAATGTAACAAGATCGATATTAGTGGTAAGCAAATGGAACAGCCTTTATATTGCTCATACCCAGCCTTGGATTTTTTTTTCTCAAGAGTGTGAGTGCTGTGAGGATGTTCATGTCTCTGAAATCTAAATATGCCTTGGGATCCGTATGTTTATTTTGGAAGTCAGCACTAGTAGCAAACCAACATCCTGGTGAAACTCTTGGTATAAACTTCTAATCCATTTAGGTTCCAGGATTTTATGAGGTAAGTCATGCCAAAACCACGGTATTTTAAATAACTATGTATTTGTTATTCTCTCTTTTGTAATTTGTCAACAGGGGATTAACTAACAACAGGTGTGCTCTGTTCCAAATGGGTAAACTGGTTTTGCCCAAGGCAGAGGACTGCAGCTGAACATGGCATCTGCACATTGCTGGTCCCAGTTGCATCCACAGATGTAGCCAGAGCAGGAGTTACTAATGTTTGTTATGGGGTAGAACATAACGACCTCAGCTGGGATGTGGTCCTGCTGCTGGGCTGGGAACTAAACACCCACCAGGTGTAAAGAGCATGATTAATCTGGCTGGCTGAAAGGTGGTAGCTCCAGGGTCAAACTACCTCACTTCCAGTCACGTTGAGATTGGGGAAATAGCCTGTTTAGGGAAGTTAGAGTGATTATGGGTGGCTTTTCAGCAACCGATTAAGTGTCTTCAATGAAATTAGTGCAGTTCCTGTGGATTTGCTGAAGAGCTTGGCTTGATGTTCGTGATTTCTGCTCATTGTCTAATTGGAAGGTTAAAACTGTTGGTTTTATCAGAAGGAGCGATTTCCTCACCTCAAGGCAAAGTGGTGTGGGATGGCTCAAATCCACCTGGTTCTGGGTGGGTTTACTCTGGGGCATAATGAATGCACACAGGCTGGGTGACGCTTGGTTTGGGTCACTGCTGGGCTCCTCCTGTGGCACTGTGAACCCATCCCTGGAAATGTTCAAGGCCAGGCTGGATGGGGCTTTGAGCAACCTGGTCTGGTGGAGGTATCCCTGCCCAGGGCAGGGGGGTTACAACTTGATGATTTCTAAGGTCCCTTCCAACTTTAACCATTCTATGATTCTACTATTTCTTTTCCTTTTTGCATAAGGACTATAGTTTCAGGGACTCCTGGAGATCTTTAAGAGCTAACTCTGTCCTGGAACCAGAGAACCTTGTGTCTGGGTGCAGGAGAGAAAGGGAGTGGCTTCTATGCTGCTTATTCGTGCCACTCTACCCTAGAATTCACCAAATTGAATATTAAGATTCTCTTTAACCTCACGGGTTTCTGAGTGGATGACATGTTAAATTTTGAAGCTTTGTTTCGTACAGAAAGCCTGTACAAAGCTGCTTGCCCAAGCTAGGAAGGCAGGCATGCAGTGGTCTTCTTTTGACCAATTGTGTTTATGAGATTCACGTGTCTGTTAAATTTAGGACAAAATTTTGGTTGAACCAGAATCAATCGGAGTTTTTGATTTATTTCAGTGAAGCCCAGTTTTCATTTTTATTCTCTTGATTTGTGTTAAACTTTGAGTTACGTGAACTTTTAAGAGAGAAAACAATTCCTCAGAAACTCTTACATGGATAGGATTTGTGAAAAATAATTTGGTACTATTTCCTCCTCCTTGGATTCTTAAAATATCAGCAGATAGCTGTTGTACATGCGACATTTTTATTGCCTGCTCTTCATCAGTCAGTTGGTTGGGCTGTGTATGGAGATGGAGTTTCTTTTTGAAGCTGTTTTTTATTAATATCAAGGAATATACACACTTTGCAGCTAAAGCCTTATATAAAGTTTTATCTCTCTGCCCACGTTGTTACTATTGTAATACTGCTTAGCAACTAACAGTAAACCAAAATACAACAATGGAGAAAAAATTCAATGGAGATAAGGGCCTAAGCTTGAAAATTCAGACTACTGTTTGGATCTGAAATTTCCAGAATTTCAGGGATCTGATGTGGGTTTTATACTTTTAAGTGTGAAAAGTCACCAGAGTGACCTGGTTCTGGTTTTGCGTGTTCTGTATATAGCATTTACAGACCAAGACACAAAGATGAAACACAAATATTACCATATATAGTAATGAAGTAAAAAAAGCCAATTATGATTGTTCCCTCCTTTGGAATAGCCAGAGAAAATGTAGTATTTTACTGGGAGCTTATTCCAGATGACTATACTAAGTCCAGTTCCACCCCCAGTTGACAGAACAGATGGTTCATCCATCTCCTACAGTTTCTGAAGCCTTCAAAATCCACACTGAGGAACCAGGGATAGGTCTTTTTTTCAAGAAGTTCTGTACCTCTGGTACATTTTAACTCTCAGCTTCATGGCTAACATTTCAAGTAACTCTTCAAGTATTAACCTGTTTTGTTGATTTTTCTGGAAATTTCTAAAGGGTGGGACAGCATGTGGTGTTGATACTGACAGTGAAAGTATCAATCAGTAGTACTTCTTCAGCACTGCAGGGGAAATGCACAGGGAGAGTATTTACAACCTTTTTTTCCCCAAACTTTATTATATACCCTGTGTTCTTTCAGCCACAGAACAACTTCACTGCAAGAGCTTCACTGGGGAGCATGACCAGTTTAGGTCTGTCTGTATCCTGTGGATGGCTCTTCAGGCAAAAAAAGGATATTGCTAATTCTAAAGGTAAGAGAAGAGCTGTAACAGTGCAACAATGACAGCGTTACAAGGACTGCTAAGGGGAGGGCTGACATCTGGGTTCATTATGGTTGGCTATGGATTCATAATGGAATAACGCTTATCAAAAGAATAAAAGCACCCTTGACAGCCAAGGACCAAAAATCTGTACTTGGGGAAAACAAAAAGGTGAAAGATAGGCAGCATTGTAGCCAGTGGACAAGGAGATCTTGAACACCTTCATTAGTAGCAACAATGAAACTAATTACTGGAATAAGTGCAGGCAATGAGGGAAAAATAGTTAATTTCTTTCATTGTGGGGAATTTTCCAAGACTTCAAGAGAACTATGGCAACTGCCTAGCGTCATGTCAGGAGCGATGTCAAAATGACCAAGTCAAATGGGCTGTGTAATTGGGAATTTAAATCCACGCATTGTCTACATTGATGGACAACTTAAAAAGAGAAATGAACATCCTGTTATGATGATTCACCAGCTAGCAGCTGGATATTTTTCCCAAAATATTCAGAAATACTCAGCTTGCTAAGTGCAGCCAACTGTTTGTGCTGTTTGGGTAATGCTAATGGGTTAATGTAAAAATGTGTAATATTTTGTTAGCTCTTAGTTTCTAGACAATGTGGGCCAAAATCACATCTCTTCTTCAGCAGCAGCACAAAGTAGTTGAAAAGACCAGAAAGTGGCTAGAGAAGAATTCCACTTACACAGGATGAATCCCTCGATAACGGACAAATCCCACCGCAGCTTCATGGAAACTTTTCTTCAGCATCCAATCTGTTGAAATTCCTGAGCAAAACAAGAGCCCTAAGTTTGCTCCTGAGTTAGTCAGAGCTGTGGGCACCGTCCCCCGAGGCGGTGGGGAGCAGCAGAGGAATCGGGGCAGCGCCGGAGCTTGGATTCTGTTTGATGTTGAGGCTGGTGTGACTCACGCTGTGATCCAGCCTTCACTGCAGCTGCCCCGGAGTTCTGGGTCTGAAGACGGAGCTCCCTGTCTGCTGCCCAGCCTGGAGCATGGCTGCAGCTGGGATCAGGTACACCCCACATTCTGAGCTCCTTTTGTCTTGCCAATTTTGAGTCAGTTTCTTACTCTGTTTTTTTAATTTTCTATTTCTTCTGTCCCACCTGCAGGTACTACTTGCCAGTATAATAAAATGAACATATTGTATAAAATAAACCACATACACACAAAATAACAGGTATCTGAAAAGGGGGAACAGGACTGCTAACATTATATTCCCTTTCTCCTTGCCTTTCCTGCTCATTTTATAGCTCTTTCCCATTTCAATTTCTCTCTGCAGCCATTGATTACAGATGTAATATTCCCCATATCAAATTCAGAGCTATAAAAACAGGCCACAGCGCAGAAAATATTCCAGAGAGGGGCTGGTTTAGTTGAGTTAGTGAGGTTATATGTTGGAGAATAGTGACACATTAATTTATTTATCTGCAGGGAACCCTTAGTGAAGTTTTCTTGTTTATGCCCTTTCACTCTTTCTGCTGATTCATTCTCACCTGTTTTCTGAGATTCTAGTGACCGTGTAGAAATATAATGTAACCTAAGTAGCTCAAATTCTTTAGACCATGATTATGACGAAGCAAGAGGGCTAGCTGATACATTCTAAATGATAACCTAACACAAATAGGTAGCTCTTTATTTTTATGAAAGTGTGAAAATGTGAGCTACATTTTTATTAAGTTAAGACAAGTAGGTGTCCAGCATGATTTGTGTACTGGCTGTACATACAGTGGTATGAAATAAGCTGGAAGGGGCATCCTTCCCACTCCTGCCTCCTGCTTTTATTGATTTAAGTGGGGCTCTTGGGTATCTGATCCCATCCTGATGCCTGAAGATTTATTCATATAACTCCCCATGCATCAGTGTGATATTTTACCACTTACTCTCTAGAGAAAATAATTAAGTGAATTACTAACGCATAAAATGCTCAAGTTAAAATGCTTAAATATTCCATTTGATGCAGTTATATATAGCTTAATGTAATGTAATAAGTGCAGCCTCCTCTTAGTCAGAATGCCTTGTGCGGTATCCTCTTAGTCAGAACGCTTTGGCTTTCATCTCCATTAAATAGAATACTAATTAACAGTTGATTCCAATTTTGTCAAGGTTGCTGTGTTGTTATATTCTTAAACAAGACCAGAAGGTGAAAAAGGACTAACCTGTCTATATATTAGAAGTAATGATGGGAGGTCAGTGCAGCAGTGCTAGTGCTGTATATAACTGCAGACTTTGGGGTTGGGGTGATAAATCCTGTGCCATCACTGGGGTTTCTGGAGTGAGGCAGGAACTTCATCTGTGACTGGCTTGGAGTAGCAGCTGCTCCTGGGGAAGGCAAGTTGGTTCAGCTTAAGTACGGTTATTGCAAAGAAAGTGAGAATAATAACCAAATACAGCCAGCAGCAAAGCAGGTAATAGAATCCAGTCTCTGGTTGAAGGAACTAGTGTGAGAAGGCAGCTCCAGAAGAGCCCGTGTAGCGCTCGGCCACTGGTGGATGCACTTGAAGTTCCCGGTGTCTTGGCCAAGAAAGCCACCTGTGTATCAGCTTTGTGTATCAATTGTGTATCAGCTACTGAGAGCTGCAACGCTTCATTATTTTTCTGATTACCTTTCCTTTTTTTCCTTAGAAACACTAATTAATTGAAATTGACCTTTTATATGAGAGATAGTTTAATTTTGGGGAAAAAAACCCACAATAGTTTTTTTAGTCCTGAAATTGCTTAGATGTCATTTATTACCATGAAACAAAACCTGTTGATGTTCAGATTTCTCCATATTGTTTAAAAGAAGATAAAAATCTGAAACAAATATTTGGAAACATTTTATGTTACATCAAATTTTTTTTGCTTGATACAGTTCTGTTCGGCTGGGAACAGAACTATCAGTTCCTGATATTTTTTTTTTCTTAATTTTAGTCTTTTTGTCTTGTTTCACTATGGAAACAGGCATTTTAATCCCCCAAATCTGTAGTGAAAATCCAGCTGAAGTTCTTTGTTTTATTGCAAAACATGTGTGTGTGTGTATTTGCGTATTCTGATTATTTGTTGTTCTGAGGAATCATTCCTCTAACAGGCTTCTGGAGTGTTAAAAGCCAAGGAAATGTGTTTTTCAGTGCTGACCAGCACGTGTGGGCATCTGCCCTGTGTCGTGGGAGAATCTTAGCTGTATTGCAGGCACACTCTTTTCTAGGAAGAGAGTGTTTTGTCTTTCCCTATTTATTTGCATTTTCATTTAAAAGTTTTAAAAAACCCAGCATGATCTGTTACAGAAATGTAGGATTTATTTGAGGATAGCTTGTGTTTCAGTTAATGACAACGTGTTGCTGTGTCTACAAGAGATCTGTTGAGGCAGGTAATACAGTTGTTCTTTGGGCCAAAACTCTTATGACTGCTGGTAAAAGTACACTGTAATTCATTAAAAGACTATATTTTAGGTAAGAAATTATTGTCCTCTCTCAATGGAATTTGTAGGACAGCTTTGTTCCCAATCCATTTATTTGTATTAATTCAGGAACACTGTGTTATCACCGATGGACACAGTAAAGTGATTCTTTGCACTCCTGTAATATCTCTTAACTACAAACGCAGATGTTTTCAATCAAAATCCGGCCTCTCAAGGCCTTTGTGAAGATAGGAAATTTAAAGCTTATTTTAAGCAACTTGCACAACTCGTACAAAGTTTATTGCAAAGTCAAAAACAAGAAAAGGAACTTGTAAGTCCTTGATCTTCAATAATTTATTCTATTTATGTGGGATCATCTCATGTTTAGTAATGTAACATGTTAGTTATGTAATTCAAAAGAAAATTCTTTTGTGCTGTACAGATTAGAAGAAGCTGCATATGGTTTGGATTGCTGTCCTTCTCCACTAACGTGTTTTCTTCCTTTATTAACCTGCAATACCTTTGGCTTTCATCAAGCCATCCAGTGTCTAGCAGAATAAAATAGCATTTGCATATGGTGTTACCTAGAGTTTGTCTCTGAATTGCTAGTATTTTTATCCTTCTCAAGCAGGTAGGCTTTAAATAAGATTTTTTCCAGATATGTATAAAACATTTATTGCCTCAGTATTCTACGAATGAAATTCTTTTTCATCTTCAAAGCTCTGTAGCAGCATTATTCTGTTCATTGAAGTGTTAACCAATAACCACAGTAGTAACGATACCAGTGATATGCTTTTAGAGGCTTTTTATGTAATGTTGACATACGTTGTGTTCTAGCTAAGGAAATTTGTCATTTAGAAGATAACTTTAAGATGTGTTAATTAAAAATGGCAGTAGAAGGCAGTTTGTTCTCACTTTAACAATGCGATTTTAGAATAAATGCATAGTTTTTAGTTGTTTCAAAAATGGGTCCAATAGGCTTGTTTAATTTAGTGCTGGTTTCAAGAGTAATCGGTCAAGGCCGAGCTTGGTCATGAGATGAAGACCGTGTGCTCATCAAGTCATAGCAAGTAGGAAAGAAGCATTTTGAAGAACATAAAAGATAGTACTTACTCTGCTGGGAGTGAGATAGAGAAAAGAGGGGAAAAAGTGAAGAAATAAGGCTTCAAGTCTATATTGTGGTAAATTCCTAGTGGAAGTTTTGGTGGCAATCTTACAGGAGTTTTCAGAGTAACAGTTCCAGCAGGACCATCGCTTCCTATTACTGGTTGTGTCTGTGCCAGAGATTGATGAGTACCCAGGTTTGTAGTCATCCTTTTAAAGTTAGCAATTCCTCTCTGGGTAATATGAAGAATTGTTGTTCAGAGCCAGGAAAGCAGTTGAGAAGATCATGAAAGATAACAAAAATCTGTTCTATATGTATTTATGAGTGATATTATATAAAGTAATTCAAAGGACAAATCCGCATAGCTTCTATAAAGTTAAATGATGTTTTTTCAACTGCTACAAATTCTTGAAGGATTTAATGAAACATAGGATAAAAGAGAACTGAGAGCTATATTTAAACATTTGAAAGGTTTTTGATAAAGTAACTCATACAAAATTATTAAGGAAAATTGGAGGAACTAAGACAGGGGGAAAGTTTTGCCAGTCGTGCAAAATGCATGAAGAGGTGGGAAACATAAAGAGCAGGGTCTCTGACTGGGAAGGACTGGAGAGAAGTCAAACACTGGGGTTATCTGGAGCTTTATACCCCAACTGCTGTTTTATTCTGCTCTCTGCCTAGAGTAATGGTAAAAAGCAGGGTGTCAATACATGGTAATATAAATTTATTTAAATTAGGCAATATTAGAAAAGATTACTAAGAGCTCCAGGAGAATGTAATAGAACTTGGTAATAAGATGTCAGTTTAAATTCAATTTAGATGAATGCACGGGAATTAAAACATAAATCACTTCAGCGTGTGCAGTTCTAAATTAGTCCTTAAGAAAAGTGCATGATATTATATTGGATTATTTGAGAAATGATGTTTTGATTATATAAGTAAAGATTATAGTAAAAAGTGCAATAAAGGCATAGGTATCTTGAAATTATATAGGCTGTAGTCTTGCACTTCTTGATTATTGATCATTGCTGATGGTGACTCTATGAAGTGTTCCAGGAGCACAAGGCCATCCCTGATTCCAGCAGCTCGGTACAAACACAGATGTCCCATTCACAGTGGGCAGCTCAGCAAGTTGGAGATGTAAAAGTTCAGGTGCTAACGTAAATTCCCCCAGAGGGAAAAAAAATTGCAAATCCCAACTATATTGTGATTATATTTCAGACATGGACTCAGTTCTTGGCCCATAGGTGGAGAGGGGGATGTTAGACTTTGTAGTCTGTATTCTTACAAAGCCAAACAGAAAGTATATTACCTCACTGATTAAATTTAGGTGCTCACATTTTTTAAGTATTGCTGAAGAAGAGATGTCCGAGTTGTATTGGATTTCACCAAGCTTGGGGAGGCTGTTTCTGTAAAGTCGTGCAAGTTCCACATGTCGAGCTGCATGGGCAGGGTATAGCCTTACAAGCTCATGGCCATGCTGTAGGCCTCATTTTTCACTTTCCATAATGGAAGGATGGCTG